ATAAAGAAAATTGCTTCAGCTTTCTTTTCATTTTAAATAAGCCTTAAATCTGACAAGAGATATCCTAAAGAGAGAAGAAATATATATCTTGTAAGGTAACGAAGAAACAATCAAAATTAAGAGATTAGAATGCTACTTGTATATAATGGTTTTACCGGCAAAAATATTTCTTTGTTTAAAATCCACAACAAAAACATATTCCGTACGAAATGCCATTTTCACACTTCAGGCAAAGAATATAAGAAGGAAAACAGAGAGGAAAGTTCATTTGGGGAAAACACTTTCAAAAATGAGACACTTCCACCAGAAAACAAATCTCCGCTTTACATCCTTCAGGGAGCAAGCACATATTTTTCTAAACAACCACAGGATCTCAACCAGCAGGCTCTTACTACACCTGGATACAATTTTAGTCTCTTTTTGTGGATTTACTCTTTCACAACAGTCAATCTTGTATTGCTGTTAGCTAGGCCACAAAAAAAAAAAGTATGAATTAATTGGGGGTAGATAAAATGAATACAAAGGATAAAAGACAGAAAAAGGTTCCAAACTCTAGCACAGGGGACAGAGCTGAATATCTTCATAATTACAGTGCTATACGTGAATTTCTTTAGCTTCCTACATATCTAAAAAGATTGGCATTACTTGGGCATCAACAAGAAGAAGCTTGGCCAACTCCTTGGCTGTTTCTGTTACTTCAGCTTGTTCTTAAAATGGTGTTATGGCAGGTGCTCTCTCTATTACATCCTCAACTCTAATATGAAATTGATTTCAAGCAATTATTCAGTTCTCATGTGACCTTTTGCAGACTCAAGCAATTTGATAGCCAGAAGTGGAAGTAAATACTCCTGCAAACCTGCAGCAGTGCTAGACAAAGGCAGGCCCTTTCCATGAGCTGAGTTATTAGGGACCAGCTTCAGCGCGGGGTAGCTCGTATCCTGCATTAGTATAGTAGTATTTTCAGAACAGAGGACATGCAATCAAAATGCACTTCAGTTTTAGCTAGATATCTTTGAAAAATCACAACACAAAGGTATACAATACTATTTTACACATTCACACAAGAGTGCAATAGTAGGTAAAGAAAGAGGTAGAGAAAACAAGTGTAATTTTAATTATGACAGCCATACCTTAAAGTAATCAAGTAGCTCAGAACACATCCAGTATTTCCAGAGAAGACTGAAACAGATGACTGGAAAGCATTTAGGCACAACGGATCTCCCAAAATAGTGCTACATTCTAAAGCAATGTTTATTTTCCATGTTCCCAAACCAATAGATACTAAATTTCCTTTAAATTCATTCACACCTCAGCTTAATTAACAGAATCGAAGCCCCCAAATATTTTAAATTATAGGTCAAAACAAAACATGTCTTAGTAGACATGCTTTCTCCCCAATTCTAGTATTACTCCCCAGCCTCTAACGGCAAGACAAAAAAAAAGGAAGGACTTGCTGCCATTTTTTGTAGAGGTAAGCAAAGTTTGCAGCAACATTTGGAGACTTTCTAATGGTTATTCAGTAAACCTGGCAGAGCCAAATTAAGTTCTCCTGAACTTCAGTGCAATGTTTTTATCCCAGAGCTATCCTCTGTACTTATCAGGACATCACATTGGTAGCTGTAAATATCTGCAGGGGAGGGGATGGCTAAGAGACCATTCATATTCCTCCAAACCTTTCCAAGCACAGTTTTCAGAAGCTCAGCCTAAGAAAAATATACTTTATGAAGATTAAAAATCCCTGAGGAAGGGAAGAAGAGAGGGAGGGAGGGAGAACCTTTCCATTCTCCTCGACCTGATGACTAATGCAGTACCAGAGCGGGCAAGAGAAAGTTCTGCTGGTATCAGAATGCTTCCCACATTTTTTTTTTTTTGATGTAAATACAAGAACAAAACAAAACAAAACCCTACATATTTTCCCAGTGAAGCCAGGAATGGATTATTCATTCCTGCCGTGTTTCCTCCCACTGCCTCAAGGCTGGACTCCCTGAGACAGATAGAGACTTCCACTCCTGCTGCTATCCAGGGCCGAATTATTAATGGAGATTTTAATTGCACATGTTTACCTGATTAGTATTCATGCACAGACAAAAAGACAAACTTAGGAAATTTTACACACTGAACTTTTCTGGAACTTTCCATATCCTACAATTTTGTCAGTGCAGTAGAAAATAGCATAAATACTCAGAAATTGTCTTCACAAATAAAATTACTCTTTCTAACTAGGTTTGTGGCAGCCCCTCCTTCTCCTATGTGAATTCGCAGTAAGTCTCACTGAAACTATGCAGATGTTGAGAGCACCGGCAGTGGTTTTATCCAAGGCCATGCATGTTATTTGCATTTTGTCATCCTGTAACTCAGTTCTAATTTACTACAAAAAGGATGATGGTAATGACAAAAAGCTCATGTTAGAGCAACATCTATCTGGTTCCAATAAAAGACATTTTGATACGTTGCAAGCGCTTCTTTTAAGAGTAAAATATTATAAAGTTCTGTAACCTACCGTATTCCAGTTGCTCAGCAAATTTCTCTAAACCTGTGCCTATTTTATTAAATAAAATGTGGCTTTATTAAATCTAATAAGAGTCTGTATTTTTATTAACTTTTGGTTTTGGTGGCATGAGGTCCTCTGATAATAGAAAGCACTCAATTTGCAACAAATGAAAGTACACATGGAGCAAGCACCCCAAATTTATCTTTCATTAAAGACAAGGAATTCGGGGATCTAAAGCATTGTTTAAAATCAGAAAAGTAATAGAAAATATATCAAAAAGAATAGAAAAGTAATGAAAACCTATGTCAGAGCTAGATGCTGAAGGCTCCAAATAAACCTAAGAAGGAAGTCTATATCCTGTCACATTTCTTATTTTACTAAGTTCGCATGTATGTGGCTGTTTATATTTTAATAGTCTCCTTTTTAAAGACTAAATCTTACACTTCCATATTGAATCTCATTATGAAAACCAAATACCTGGAACATGCCAGCAAGTAGCATCTTGTTTCCAATTATCCACTCTCCACAGATCAAAAACTAATATTTTTTTTATGCTAAGTCACAGCTCACTTGAAGTACTTGGACAGTCAAATAGTAATAATTATGACGACGATAATCATTAAAAAGTGGTATTTCATATATTTGAAATACTTCAAGTACAGGTGGAAACAACAATAAAAAGCAATTTCCCCATAATTTTCCAGCAGTCAACAAAACAAAGGGAAGATCTGGAAAGGGTTATTTGAAAATCCAGTAGTGTAAAAATAGTGGAGGTCTGTTTTTGTGATGCCTTTTAAGAAGAAAGGAAGGAAGAAAACAAGCACACTTTCAAAACCTCCTATGCCAAGCTTTAGCCCTGAGCAAGTTTTCACAGCTATGTTTCAAACCCGTGAAAAAAATAGTTTATAATGGAAATGATGACACGACCCTTAACCAGAGCAGCACAAATGGCTATAATTAAAGCAGAGCTTTTGGCTACACCTCACTCTGTAAAGGAAAGGTTGCCATTTTTACAATAGCCTCAGTAAAAGCAAGTAGGAAATCTGAAATGTGATTGCAGCATTGCAAGGAATGTTAAAGGAAATGACTAGGACTATTTGACAATCTAAGCTTTAAATACAGAGACATTTAGTTAACAGAATCAAGTGGGTATTTCCACAGTGCTGCTCAATGAGCAATAAATAAAGCTCCTGTGTGACATTTTCTGGGTTTAGCAGAAAGGGGCATATGAGGTTATTATTTCCTAACAGCCTAGAGGGAGCTGTTTCTCTCTTTAATCAGTGATCTCACATCCTTCCTACGTGGAAATTCTCTGTCACACAGTTATAAAACTATTAGAGTGCAGACTAGAGAAAAATATATATATACATTTATGAAAGTTCTACTATCTTTTGTCCATCAGGATCTTTAGAACAGGAGAGAGAACTGCACTGAACCATTCCATCCTCTTCCAAGTTTGCAAACAGACTAGGCCTAATCAGTCTGGTTAAGATGCTAATACTGCGGTTGGCACAAAGTCCTCTAAATCTTCTGAATGAAGAGATTATTTTTAGTGCTGTTTTATTCATGTGGCAGCAAAGGGCTATTTTCAGTGAGTCATTCAAAATGGGAAAGAAACCCAACAACATTTCACTATTCCCCAGCACCTGAAGATCAAGTGCTTTACACACTTCAGTAAAATAAGCTTCTTTATAATATACAGGCAGGTAATAAGAATCAAACATACAGACACAGAAATTGAAATAAGAGTTTAAAAAAAAAAAAAAGGTTCCAATAATCTTGCTCATACAGATATGTATTTGAGCATGCTGCTAATGCAAGTTATTTCACAACTCCTTTGTATAAATAAAGGTGTAAATACTGTACTGCATGTTGTACATGATGTCCTGAGAAGTCTAGAATCAACTTCTACCTTCTGTGTTACAAGAGGACAACATAACCCTGAAGTTTTGGAAAGCTTCAGAACAATGTCAGTGTTATGAAATAGACAACTTTTTCACCAGTGTAAAATTTCTCCCTACTTGATCTTTAAAAGTAACCCAACATATGGCATATATTAACTGATTGAGAAAATTTCAAAGTATTTTTGAAATCTCTGATTTATTCCAGTAAATACATTCAGTAGAACTGAAATAATAAATAATAAAACAACTAAACTTAGTTTCATGCTTCATATTTGTTCAAAAGACTGGCAGAAACACAGCTGTCTCTGGATGTATCGGCTATTGACAGCTGCACTCAAACTACTAGACCATAACAAAGAACTTTGTTAAAGAGAGATCTTGCATGGGCCTCCCTATCCCTATTCCACACTCCCACACAGTTCTTTCTACATATTCCAGTTTTACACATGTCAAGTAATGGCAGATCAACAGCTACCCCTTAATAACTTAACAAAAAAAAGCAAATTTGGCTACCACCGCTGTGTTTCAGGAAGAAATTAGTATGAACTACATTTTCACTACAAACACAACATGCCAGGCTATGTCTATTAAGTTCACTAAATAACTTACCGAAGTCTTGCTAGAACAACCTGTAGAAAATTTAGGACCATACTCAGTTCAGCTCCTCGACAAGCAGGCAGCAGCATGGTAAAGCCATCATTTAGCAGCTTTTCTTGAGAAAGATTCAGGTCACAGCTGGTCTCAAACACTTCTTGGACACCATCAACATACGTTGAAAGTAAAGTCCAGAGATTTTGTTTCTGCGTGTAGTCATTTTTGGTTACCAAAAACTCCTTTGCTTTTTCACGGAAAGCGTTTGCGAGTTTCTCAGCTAGAACACTGATATCCATGTTCTTCTCAACATAAATCAAAAGAAAAGCAAACTGGCCTCTCCAAATGAGAGCTCTCTGAGAGACAGTAACAGAGGACGGAGTCAGGAAATTCAAAAGATCCAACACTCGACTCACTATGTCTTCTGTCTCTGCAACAGTTGCTAGCATAAGGAAAAGGTTAAAGAAGTTCTGCAGTCCTACTTCTGTCAACTCCTGCATTCTTTTCCGATGGAACTTGGAATAAATTCTACATCAAGACAAACAAACAAAAAAACAACAGTTTAAGTATGCTATTTTCAACCTGCAATTGTATTTTCATGCTTTTATTCCAGAACTGCCCTCTTATAACTCTTAATTTTTAGATATCCTCTTTTCCCTTCCTTCCCCTTTCCTACTGTTTTGGCGAATAGAATAAAAATGCTATTTCATTTTCTGCTCCCAATACCAGGTGCATATTGGAGCTTTCAGCTCCAAGTGCAGCCTAACTTTCCTCCCTTACCCCAACATCTAACCTCTGGCAGAAAGTTTAGCCCAGTGCTACTAGGAGACTCTCTGCTTTGTCTGTGATGGGTTCCCTCCATACCCTGCCTCACTTAGCACATCTCCAATGAGCACTGGTGGAAAAGAAAGCAACTTCTTAACTCACAAAGTTGCATCTCTCCACAGTACCTAGCATTTTCTGTACCTCAGCTGCTTCCCTTTTGGGAGCTCAGTGATTTCCAGGTAACACACACACAATTCCAGAAATGGTCAGGAATCTCTCTCCTTAAAATACTAATTTCTGCTCTTATGTTATACTATCAGAGTTGTTGTTATTAAAAGCTCATCTACTTAATTACAGCTACACTTGAAAGGAGAACTCCTGAAAGTCCCTTTTGTGGACAGCGTTCTGCCCAAGTCTTGCATGGAGTTTATCTGCTGTTTGGACTGCACACTGCAAGTTTGGGAGAAAATAGGAAACGGGCTCATCTGGGAGAGGGAACTCTCTCTAGCAGGAAGATACGATAAAAACTTCGAGCTGGGTTGCTTATATCATAGCACTTAGGTCATACATTGCTGATGGTGAAAAGCTACTTTGCAACTTTAAAGTGATTGGCAAAAAGCAGAAAGCTTTTCCATACGTATTTTTGTGTGATCTTAGCTTATACTTGGATTTTTAAGCAAATGTCACCATTCTTATGAGATGAAATAAGTTGAAAACGGGTTGCTCATCTTGTGATTACAAACTGGGGCATCTCCTTCACCTTTAACTTGAAATAAGTTCCGCGTAGAGTAGTTAAACATCCATAAATGCTGTTTTCTTATTCCATCACCCGGAAAAACAGTTGGAAATGGTGCCGAGGTTATCAAATCTAGCTACCAAAAATTATAGCAAATCCAATTAATGTTGCTTAGTAGTAAATTACTACTGACAGGCATTTATGTTTTTCATGCATCAATTAATGCTTGGTTAGCTGCAGAAAACAGAGTTCATCCCAAAATCATAGCTGCAGGCTTTTAAAATTTGCTACTTGTGTAATTGATTTATTCAAGGTAGAAATGATGAATACTGGGTGAGAAGACGGGCAGAGCGTGTGTTATATATTATTATTCCCCCTCTTAAATTAGGAAAAGCAACAAGCTATAATAAGACAAAAATGTAAGTATGATTTGTTTTCAGTGAAAACAGAGCAGACTAATTAAAATTACTAACGAAAGCAAGACTTGGATTCAACATTCAATGTCATATTTGTTTCAATATGCAGTTGTAGTAATTCTTAAATGCAAGTTTGAAGACTTTAATAAATCAGGAAGCATAGATAGGCAGTAGATATATTTGCCCCCTCTGAGAACCAAGATAATGCTTCCTTCTGGGAAAAAGCTTGCGATAGATCATTGTAGGATTTGCATACATATATATGTGTGTCTATATATGTATATATATGCACATACATGTATTACATATGCACAAATGTGAGATTAATACCTAAGAACTAATTCCGAGAGTCTAGAACCAATTCTTAGAAACTTTAGCACCTTTAGTGATCAGTAAGGTGTTATTACAGTAATACAAGTGTTAAGGATTCAGTAAGTATAAAAAAAATCAGAATTTGATTTATAGCACATGTATTTCATGTTTCTTTATGTAATCACTTAATATATCGCATAGTTTATATATTTCAAAATTAATGAAAAAGTAAAACCCTCCCAGAAATGTTGTGGAAAAAAACAGCAACCATAAAAATGTAAATATAACTGGAAATACTGGTACAGCAAGAGCCTGCCTGCAGGTTCTTGGACGACACATGGCTTACACAGAGCTCAAGTAGAATTCCTGTGCTTTACCTACATTAGCTGATTGGCAAGAAGGCCATACCGGTGCACAGGATGCCGGTATACTAAATCCCTGGCCTGTTGGAAGAAAACCATCAAAGGCTGTGGATGCCAAGAGGACTCTTGGACTCAGCTATACACCTGGCACAGCCTTAGGTGGCAACAACTGCTTTCTTCCAATCATGAGTCCCTCACCCCTTTCCAATGAAGGCAATGCACCTTCACTGCAGTGTGGGGCTCCAAGGCCTGTACAGTCAGGCTGACTACGTCTCTTACAGGGAGCATAAGATAAAGAGCGGCCATACCGTCCCTTGACTTGTTTCCAGGGATGCACACCACTGTTCTCGACCTCTCCTTTCATCATCCGTGCCAAAATGCTGAGGAAAAGGAGGTAACTGTTGCTGGACTTGTACAGAGCAGGGATCGGTTGGTCACAACAGCAGCTTTTCACCAACTCGAGCATCGACAAAGGGTTTTTACTAACATTTGCCAGACCCTTCAGTCCAAGCCAAGGAACAGTAAAGGAGCTGTTCTAAAACAATAAATGAAACCACAGAACAAGTTAACTAACAAAAAGAAAGTGATATTCCAAAGGCAAAAAGACACAGTCCTTCATATGAATAAAATGCTGTCTCCTCCTCTAAGTCCAAAAATGCAAATGCACCCTCAATATGTACAAGCATTTTTACAAGATCTTAAAATTATTTGCAATGATTAAAAATAAGAGTCAAAATGTATTCTAATTTATTCTACTTATTAATTTATTCCACTTATTAATTTATTCTATTATAACAATCTAATATAACAACATACATGCTTAAACATAGTTGTTTAAATAAGCAAATTTAGAGATCCTGCCATCAGTTTTACAAAAGTATAGCAATAATGTATGGTCAGAGAAGAAGCAGAATTAACTGCTAAAATTGAGGACTGCCCACACGCAATTTTATTTCATCAAAAATCCATCTACTTACCAAATTCTTGCTGTAATAATCCCAGAGGATGGTGGCAACAGATAGGTTCAAGTCCCAGAAGCCACACAAAGTCAAACAGCACTGAAGGTGCATTCGTAACTGCTCCTCTAACACACCAGACTTGCACAGGGAAGAAAAAAAGTTTGTTAGAGAGCATCTTCTTGCCTACATGTCAACCCAATACCATCAAACTGCCACACAGTTTCCTAATATAAAAATTATTTCTACTTATATAGTGTACTATATAACTATATAGTCTACTAGTATGAGCAATGGACTAGAAAATAAAAGCTGACAAACATGTATTTCCATCTAATTGCCCCCTCAATCCAGCCAATATAACAGCTCATCATACACATTTTTAAGTGTCCACACTAAGGTAACAGCAAATTCAATACTGTGAGCCTAGCCTGAAGCACGACTGCATGGCACCAGACCTCCCAGGGTGGTAGAAGGGGCATTAGCTGCAGGGAGCAGAGGAGTGAGGGGCACGTTAAGCCCCTGGGGCAGGGGCTGCGCGAGGCTGCAGCTCCGGCTACCCGAGGGCACGCTGCCAGGGACATGGCGCTGGTACGAGCAGGAGGGGTTCCCCCTTTTGGACCATGTTTCTTCTCACCCTAGCCACCTTGCAGAGGTGTGGGAACATTTTGGACCACTCCAAAGCAATGGCAAATAAGCTTCAACACTGCCAACTAGTTCCAGTGCAAAACCAAAACCAAAAAACAAACAATAAAACCCCACTTTCTTGTATTCATCAGTTCCAACTCTGCACAGTAAGGAAGAATATATAGTCCACATAAAGAAAATAGGTAATTCAAAATGATTTAAAGACCACGAAATATTCAGCTGGCAATTCTGGGTTACTGCAGGTGGGATTCATCTTGGCCAGCATTTGAGAGCAGCAAAGCTGGACTTGCAACAGATCTAGGACATTATGGCACAGTCAGGCTGAAATCTTATGTTTTCCTGTTTCAGATACCTGAACTTTTAGTCTGAACTTTCAGGCATCAGGCTTTAAGACGAGAAGGATAATTCCTTGGAAGAGCATTCTCATTTTTACTGACTATAGAAAGGTAGTTTAGGGGACCAGCTTCTGTGTAGTCATCCTACGGGAACACTTTTATTCACATCTGAGATTGCCACAAACTCATCTGGGACAAGAGAAACCTCTGACCTACTCCTAGTTTTCAAATACTTCTGAATACTAAATAGGCTTCGATGTCTAAATCCACAAAATAAAGGGAAAGAAGAGGGGGAAGGGAGCAGGAAGGGACAGAAACACAGGTGAAGTCTTAAAAACTTAAAAACATAGTATCCAGGAGGGAGAAGACACAGAACCTCTTTCATCCCTCAGATAAATATCAGCAAATTGCCCCCTTCAGTTCCAGTTGCCCTGCTGGATCTTAACGCGCACAAGACACATTGCCAAAGCCGATCCAGCAAACACTGCTAAACAAACAAATACAAAAAATAAAACAAAACACTGATGCTAGGTGATGGGAAAGGATAAGGTTTTTAAAACACCTTTTCATTAAACACCTTTTACACTGTTATCAAAGACAGCATAACAGAAGAGAGGGACTTCTGATCTGACCCACAGAGCTACTTCCTATGACTTGTTATGTTTTAGACCTGCTTTTTCCTCCATTTTCAACACTGCAGAGGAACTCTAACTCGAACTTAAAACTATCATCATAAATTTGGCCACACTCCTCTGTAGAAAAAAAAATAAATAAAAAAAAAATCACAGAATCATAGAATGCTTAAGGTTGGAAGGGACCTCTAGAGGTCATCTAGTCCAATACCCCCTGCACACGCCGGGTCACCTAGAGCACGTGGCACAGGACTGCGTCCAAGCGGGTTTGGAAGATCTCCAGAGAAGGAGACTCCACAACCTCTCTGGGCAGCCTGTTATTTGCTACACTTTATCAGAATACTGTGAGCAATTATGCCAGTCATTCACGGTAACTTCTAATGTCTGCCTTCTCATGAACAATTGATCTACAGCATATGGGTTTTCAAGGGGTATATTCCTAAAACAGCTTGAAACTAGAAAAGAAATTCATTTGTAATACAAAATATGTATTCAATGAATTATAATATTTGAAAAACTGATATAGAAGGGAAACTCTTGAAGAGAGCCTCATTAAAAACTAGAGAATAACTCAAATATAATAAAAATAGTTACTAATGAAGGGTGATCTTCAAATGCTGTTTTCATATATAATAGTACTATTAAATTGGTAGTTTCCAATTCAAATGAAATAAAAGTAACCCTGTCTGAAAACAAGAAGTGACCGAACCACAGCCATTTTCAACAGCTGCTATTTTTATGGATAAAAGTGTCCGACAGAACACAAGAAAATGGAGACAACCATATCTGTTTTTCCAGAGATCTACAAAGTTACAGAAAATGTACAAAAAAGAAAAAAAGCTCCTAAATGAGAACTCTTAGTTTTAAAGCCCAAATTCGTGCACAGGATTATATTTAGGATCTGATTCAACATTCAATTATTGGTTTTATTAGACTAATTCAACAATAAATACAGTATTGTGAGCAGCTTCCATCTCAGACCATTTATCGTTCCAACCATAGTTTTAGAGCAGTTTTCAAAACCAGGATGGTACGGAAGCCTTTATCTCAAATTTATCACGAAAGAGTTCTCCAGACTTCAAAACCCTCTGGGATTAATGGATTCTCTCATTGCTCTTTTGCTTAAAATGGTCTTCCGCACTGCTGGAAATACTGTCAGAACTCTTGAGGCAGCCAGCTTTTAATTTATCGCAGAAGGGAGGAACACCAGATATTATCCAAATGGTAGTACTATCTAAATACAATGTTTTTCCTTTATGACCTCCTACTGTAGTAACAAAATTGGTTTCCTAGAACTCCAGCAAGTACTTCTGTTCTTCTTTCAGAGTAGAATTAAACACAAAGTGTAGTGGAGGTTTAATCAAGTTGCAGTAGAAATGAAACAACAGAAAGCATTCATCTTCCAAAATGAGAGGTAAGACACAAGCTGCTGTTTAGTTCGTATGAATAAAAATGTCCTTCCTTCGATCCTCACAATACAAGTTTGTAAGCGCAAATTCATCCTGTACCAAAAATCCACAGAACTTGCTCAGTTCAGTGTTACCCAGTCTACAAATAATACAGCTACTCTAATATTCCTAGTGCAGTAATTTTCATTTTGTAGTTCAAACAGAACTGTAAGCCTGCTCTACCTTTGGCAAAAGCCTGGTAACAAACAAATACAAGTTATAAGTAGGCAATACCTGATGCAATCAGTTCCCCCTGAAATCGCTGGTTTCACGATACAGATGAGAGATCGTTAAGCCAAGTAATTGTCTCTAGCTCTATCTACCCAGAATCACTCAAAACAGCAGCCCCTGTTATGCCGCCCTGCCTCAGGCACATACTGGGCTCAGCCTCTCAGGAGCCTCCTGAGCTCGGCCCCCTCTGCGGTGGGGACCCACAGGGCCAGCCCTGCAACTCAGCCTGAAAAACTTTAGGTCATTTACTGATAAGAGAGAAATTGCCAGTGTACTTTACAAATTTATGATTTGTACATTTTTCCAAACACACAAAGTTACAGATACTTGATATTGCCATACCTACCCCAGCCTCCTTCTAATCCAGTTCTCCTTACACTCCTAAATCAAGTAAGCTTTTGAAATCAGGAAGCAAAACCTTCAACTGGGTTATGGCATTGATGGAAATACCTAAATATATACAGTGCTAGTGAACAGTGTAAGACTTCACTAATTTTTAAATCTCCTATATACTTAAGTTTCTAGCCAGTAACGCCCGCACTCTCACACAAATGAGTGACTCAGAATTACCATTTTTTCTAATTTACTCTGCATAGCTGTTATCATACATATCTACTACAGATACAACAGTGTATGGATACAACTTCCTCATGACACACATAAAACATCTTTAAAAGGATGTCTCAGGTAGGATTTACCAACAAATTAAAGACAACTCCTTGTGGGCAAGGTATCTATTACTGCTGGTCATATAAAGACCTCTTCTCTCCTTTCGGGTTTTGCCCACTGGCCCACGTTCCATTTCCTTCTTGACTTCTGGATACCTCATTGTGCTTCTCACTCCCACATTCTCTGCTCTCAGGAATCCTCACTCAGCAGACACTTCAATAAAACGAGAGGGTTACCCAAAAGGCAAGAGCAATATTGCCAACACAAGGCTGAGAGTGCAACAAAGGAGATGGACACATCGTATCTACTGGCCAAAGAAAATCTCCTTTCTAGGCACTGTCAAGAAAGCCACTGTAAACGGAAAGGAAGTGGGGGGGTGGAAATGCATGTTTTAATAAAGCACTCACACACGCACATGTAGGAACCAATGCCGACTCTCTAAGGAGCATTTCCTCAATTGAAGAAAAAAAAATTAAAATAATGTTATGTAACCTAGATGTCTCCTTAAACTGTTGGCAGTAGTTGCAAACATGAATTTGGTAAACAATGGTTTGTTTTACATCTGAAATTGGTTGCCCTTGGATCTTATAATAGATTTTTACCTCCTATTACAGTGTTATTATTCATTCCTTATTCAGGTCTTCTGAACTTGCCATCTAGTTGCATTTTTGAAATGTCTAAAAGCTGTCTATATGACTTATATTTGACTTCAGAGTATTCTTGATTCAAAATAATAAATACAAGAAAAGAGGACTATTTTCTAGAGAAATCTGAGTAACCACAAGGGTTCTCCTACCATCTCGCTGGTTGTTGCCCTACAGAAGATGCCTTGTAGGAAAACAGCTAATTTGCCACTTACAGTTTTTATGACTTAGCTCATCTATATCTCTGCAATTTCTCTTACAGAGAGGTAACCATGCAATAAGTGATCTCATCACTATAGTTTCAATGTGAACAAACAGGATACATTTTCAAATACATGCCATGAAATCATTCAGAAAAGAGTTAATCTTTCAATAAGCCACAAGACCACATAGACAACAAATATCTCCCCAACTATCAGCATTAAGAGACAACTAAAACCAAACATGCTAACTCGACAAATATTTATATAAATTAAAATATATTTTAAGTTATGGGTAAGATAGATTTACCTTTCTAACGTGAATGCACTGGCTCAACATGACTCTGTTACATTTCCTAAATATAGACACTGAGGCATTTAAAAATGAAATATGGGAAGTAATAAACATGAAATCCCAAGACCACAGGCAGACCTATGTATGAACGTGGAGGAGATGTTGAAACAGATACTGCTACAAGATTTTCTTGGCAGAATATAATTTTTCAAAACTTAGAGCAAAGTGTTGAGAGTTCCCCTTTATATGAGAAAGATTTTAAGTGTCTTTGACATAACTGTAACATCGCTGAAACTGGGATATCAGCAACTATTTTTAAGAACAAGCATTCTGCAAGTCCGTCTGCCTTCATTAAATTGCAGGGGCCAAAAAGTTTTCCCTTCTTTTTAAGCACTTTTTAATCAAATTTTACATTTCTTTAAAGTTTGTGTGTAGAATGATTTTCCATTATCCAATCTATTGTTTCAACTATTCTGCAATATTTTTATTAGACAGAAATGTATTTCTTATGTTCCTTATATTCCTAACTCAAGCTTCAACCCCAGCATTTACTAAAGCCCAGACAAGGCAGCAATGATAATAAAAAAGAACTCACTCCTGTTTCATTTTTAAAGAGAGATTTTTGCAGGACTTATTTCATGTGAGACCACATACAAAAGATAAACTGTTTATTCGCACTTTAAGCATATACAAATTAAAGAAATTATTTTTGTAGGTGTTACTGTTACAGCAATTACAATTTGTACCATGCAGCTTCAGAACAAATTTATAGAGCTGCAACGTAACATATTTAAAAATGTGATGAACAGCATATTTAAAAGCACTTTAAAAGGAGGTCAATTCTGACCTCTGGGCCATGAAGCATTGCATTAACAGCTCTGCAGAAAGAAAAATGATAAGGTATGAAATGAGTGCTCAGAAACTAAAACCTTATCAGTAAGAGTTTGATTCAAGCCTGTAAGACAAATTGCTCAGCAAGGCAAGTCACCTTCCTGCTGTGATGAGGATATAGCTGAATTTTCAATGCAACTGACTATCTCCCTCATCATGTCTTCTCAACTTGATATCCTTACAGGCAGTGTACAGTTTACATTTTCTAAGCATCCAGTTCTTATTCTGAATACATCTTGTCAGAGTAGCCATATACCCTTCCAGGATAATTATCTTTTTCCTTCATCTGACAATTTAGCATCGAGCACAATCACTTTAAAGGAAGTGCAACTGCTAACAAGGAGGGAACTGTATATACATCAGTAGCTCAGCTACATCAAGGATGTTAATTTACTTGTGATAAAAACACTAGAGTTCCAAATTACACCTGTTAGTTGGTCTCAGTTTCAGGCACTGGCTTTTCCAAAAAAGCATCTCTGACACTTCCCTGTTCATTATTTCTTCCTTTACACACTTACTTGAGCATCAATGGATTTTTTGAGTAGTTCTTCCACAAATTTCCAATTGGATTCCTTCTGTTTCTGAAAAATAATGATTATCAGTAGAAAACAGCACTTGTACTCTGCACAGAAATCATTATGTAATGACATGAAAATAAGTGGGCAAGAGATTTCCAGAAATATTTCATTTCATGGCAGGATATTGTAACCATCACTGAAAAGAGCTTTTCTATTTTAGGCATGTGACTGATATCTGCCTCAATAATTAGGCCTCAAAAACGAATAGAAAGCCTTCCTTATAAAATAAAATGCTATTTTAACTGACTTAAGTGACTCATTTTCAACCCCAACCTTCCCTTTTATAGCAATGAAGCAAAATATTCAGGCCTTCTCAATTAGTGTGGTGTGTTATATATTAAAATTTCTTTTCTTGACATTCTCTAAAAAAAAGGGAGAAGGGTGGGAAGAGTGGTATAGAATAACCTTACTTTTCTTATTTCCCATTCACCAAAGGGAGACTTTTAACTCATTTTGATTTGTTTTGGTTAACTTAGTAAGCAGTTGAACAGACAGGATTGCATTTCCCATCCCCTGCTCGCCCCTCACCTCCCCCCTCCCCCGCCCCCCCCCAAAAGAAAGGTAACCCAAATGTTACCATAATTCATATTCTGCAATTTGGAAAGCTGGATGACTATCCATTAGAATCAACTAGACCATTCCTATAAAGCAACAGAATTGTATGGCAAAGTATATTGACAGGAGAAAAAACCTGTTTTGGCAAAGTGGGAAATAACAGAATAGAAGGTCTTGCGACTCAGACTATTTGCCAGGAAATAATAAATAATCAAAGACCAAGCCAACGTACTTAAATTCTTGGCTACGTCTAGATCACTTTAGAGGACAAAAAAAGGAAACACAACCATCCCCTACTCACAGCTATGCATGCAACTCGTGTAGCTATCTAACATGTGGTTACAGTATACAATGAAGAGCATCTTGTGCTTTAGCAATTGAAATATAACCAGTTTGCAGCAGCAGCAGCATCCTCCATGGCCTTCCTCTCCTGTTGACTTTGCCAGTTCAACACAGTGATCTGGTGTCAATTCCACACAGAATTCCAGAGAACATTCAGAGAATTTTAGCAATCAAAGATACTCTGCGATTCACATAACATAGTTTGGCTATTTAGCAGTTTTACAATTTTGCACTACAAAGAAGAAAATTCTAAATAAAAACCTCTAAGTAAACTTTTGATGATAGCAACCTGTTACCTGTTCAAAGAACAAATAGAACAGAAAGCAAAGAGAGGACAAATCTACAGAAAGTTGCACTAAAGCTCTGACGTAATGATTCAGCAACTTCAGCACCATAACTTAAGGGGGTTCCTGTTTCTTCCTCCTCATCCTGCCAGCTGCCTCCTCTGCCCTCGCAGCTGTGGTATGCTGCTTACTTCTGGTGTTCTAATATTTCTGCTTGTAAAAGCCAAGGCAAACCAGAAAAGTGAACTAACCCAGAGTTTTAAGAAAGAAAGAAATGAAGGAAGACAATAAAAGAAAGGAAAAAAAAAATAAGAGAACCTCATCTAGGCCACCTAATAGCTCTCTAATTGTGCCAGAGTGCCCAGCTGAGGGTATATCATGCCTCGAGCAATAAACAGGAGTTCTTAAATTGTTATCGATGCCAAGGTCCTTATAGCATGAAACCAGAACTGAATCCTGGCAGGAGCAGAGACTATTTCATCCAACAAGCAGCCAAGGGACACAGATAGCAACTTCAGAAACCATATGATGAGTGTCCTTGGACGGATCCAGCGTGCCTGTTTCACACGTGCCCATTTCACACTTTGACCACTGCAACCCCCAGGTAACTCTGAGCATCAGCTGCTCAGAGGACAGGGTTCCCGCAGGGAAACACACACCAGAGAGTCCTCCTAAGGCTGTGAGATTTCTGGATCTGCTGGCCCACAAGACACTTTTAGCAGTCATTTCTGTGCAAGGTGTTTACAAGCTTCAGTTCAGCTGCTGACCACACTATGAGATCTTTCAGAAATCTATGGCAACTCCTGACACCAGCCATAACTGATGACAAGACTGGATCCCTGTTATCTCACACTCAGGGAAGGAATGAGACCGAAAACACGCTTCATTGTTTTCGCCTCAATTGTCTCTACCTTTTAAGAAACCTGTTTCATTCAAGTTAGTTACATTTGCAATCCAACAGGATTCCCTGCTACACTGGCAACAGAGCATGGCAACAGTTTAAAATCCATCCCTGTCAGATAATCTGTATAATCTGCATGTCTTTTTCCAAACCTGCTGACTTGCTGTATACTTCATACACCCCCAAAGCCCTAAAATGAGCAGAACTTGGAGACTTCATGCAGTATGTTAAAGTGCTGGAAAAGCCAAAAAAATGAACTAAAATTCACTGGATTCTATAGTATAAACTTTTGCAAAGACTTTAACTGCTACTACCTGGAAGAGACAGGCTGGCTTCTCAGCTGGAAATGTGTGTTTGCATATCTTGTCAGGGAGCCACTGCAGATTATTCAAAGGCAAGATTTCTTTGCCCCAAGCAATTTTACCTGTATTCCCTTATATATTCAAGTCCACATATATTGAAGTCCACAATATATTGAAATTGACCCCTGCAATGTTCAGAAGTAGGGATTTGTCTCATCAGGTCCCATTTGGTTTTTAAATGTACGAAACAGGCTTTTCAGAATAGCATAGTGGGACCTGAATGTGGAGTTAGGGAAAATAAAAAAGATATGCACTGTACATATCTCAAAAAGGAGTCTCCAGAAAAAAATAGGGAAATTTTCTAGTTAAAAAAACCAACTTTTTCATGTGTATAAAAACACTTTTAATATATATGAATCATTTCATACATGAAATTATGCTATATGAGCTAAAGGTGAAAAAATAAAAAGAAGTAGGTTTGAAACCTATTTAGAATTTTAAAAGCTTTCATAACAACCTCAAGGCCATGCAGCCCACATTAAAAAACTGAAAATCTTCCACAGATGACATAGGCTTGGAGGCAATTTTTACTATGGAGCACATGAATAACCATCACTAGGCCACATCACCCTCCCACCTCTGCTCACAGTTAATTAAAAGCCAGCACGTGGCTCAGGAGGCCACCACATCAGACTGTTTAACCAGTGGGACAAGACTACGCTCAGCTTGGATGTAATTTCACTGACTTTAACATTTTATAAGGGACTATTTTATCTTATTGTGGTCAAAGAACGTTTGAGGCTATAACTCAGGGGGAAGAAGAAATTGCAAGAAGTGATTGCTGTCCATTACCAGGTTACATTCCTGTCATTTTTTTTGTAAGCACCCATGGGCAAATTAAGAGTAGTCATAGAAGAGCTGCCTGGACAAACTCTTAACACAGAGAACTATGAAGCACAGACTAATAGTCAAAAAATAAAAAGTGCTGGAAACAGAGAACTGTGCACTGGATGGCTTCATGATTTACAAATTTTGGCTTTCTTCTACTTAGACTTTAAGGAAAAAGTATTGTTTAATCTTAGGCAAGTCACTCTCTGACACTGCATCTCAGATTCCTACTTTAAAATAAGAACAATAAGAATTTTTTTTCTTTCCTCCATTCTATGTCTGTTTTGCTTATTTAAATAATATAGTGCCTGCAGCAAAAATAAACTCTCAGGAGGCTACATACATTCTACGTATCACCAAGAGGGACAGGAGGAAAACAATCATCAAAGCAAACAGTACTAGGATAGGAGAAACCCAGGATACACATCTCAAACTTAGCTTCTTTGTTCGACCTAGGATTAACAATTTCTCTGCATATAAGTTCCTGCAATAAGTTGTAAGATCAAATTCTATCTTCCCAAAATACCCAGTATACTGTGGTCCCCCACACTGCTTAAGTGTATGAGAAGTTGCTGCATTTTGCCATGCTTCTATTAGGCTGATGCATGTGGCAACCTCTCATAGAACCCCGACGGATCCATCAACCCTCAGGAAACTAAACTTCTCCTGCCTGCGAGGCACAGACAGAGGCGTAAGAGTCCCTCCTTCACCAGGTCCTCCAGTCTTCAAACAGGATGAGGAGTTTTTCAGCTGAGTATTCACACATTGCGGAACGACACCTTCCCTAATCAATCCTAATCATGCCTTTTTTCCCCTTTTCTTTTTTTCTTTTCCTTTTTTTTAAAAACAAATCGGCAAGTTAGCAAGATAAAAAACAATGAAAATAATTCTTATTTTGATTAGAAGGCCTAATTTTATTTAGGATCAAAAGTATTCAGAGAAGTTCAACATTTCAACATCTTTCTCTGTTTATATATTAAAGCTTTTAGTATGCACTATTAAATTACAAATAGTGAAAGATAATGTACTTCAGAAAAAGATCCTGTACTTCAGAAAGTACAACTAAGATTTTGAAGGAACCATATATAGGTGATGCTTGGGAAACTGAAGATGAGAGCTTCAGTTCAGCTCCTGAAATCAAGGCAAGATGTTTATACCACAAAATGGTATAAAATTAAGATTGAAATGAGACATTTCTGCAGCTAACACAGAGAAGATAGGAGGATGGAGGAGAGCACAACCAGATGCTCCCTCATGTCGAGGGCTTCGTCAGACCACGAAGCTGCTAATAAACAAGATCTCTGGGTATTCAGTAATCTCTTTGGCATGACTAGTCCATATTAGTCACTGCAGCTCCGTCTTTAATCAATTAAAGCAAACTGGCAGCTTTCATATCTCAAAATGGATGAATCGCCTCAGCAAGTGTCTATTTCCTTCCCAATTTATGATCAGAAACCTAAAACTAGGCAGGATTAACTTCACAGTAAGAGACTGAAAGAAGGGTGAAGGCTTAGGTTGCTCTAGAAGTGCAGAAGTCATGTGGAATGGTGGAATGGCTCATGAAGGAATTGGATGCACTAGTGGCCTTACATGTATCTTACATGTATCTTGCAACCTTAGGAAATGCATGTGCAGGTCTGAGCTAGGCACGAATGTGTCAAGTGTCTATACCCTGCAGTACACGGTGAACTGCACCAAGGATACCTTATTGCCACGAGTTATAAAGGACTCTTGGTAACACGTATGTTAAAATTCTTCTGTTGTTTTGATCCAACAAAAACAACCAAACACATTTTCAGATCTAAGAAAAATATACAGCTTTCAAATATTTAGAAGTATACCCACCTTTTCATCTAGATTTCCATTACGATCAAACTGGTAGAGTGACGCCAGATGTGTAATAATCCACCAGCTAAAACTCAATGGATCTTTACACTGAATTGTTTCAAAACCAGATGCCCTGTCAGAATTGCTTGGTTTCTCAAAGATCTTCTTTAGATTTATGTTCACTGAGCTCCAGAAAGACTGCAGAAAATGGAAAAGTAAATTGAAATGTGGTGAATAACAAAAACTGTAAACAGTCTTCCCTACAATATTGTACTACTGATAAATTTGCTTTTGCAGAGAGCAAGCTAGGTGACAATCATATAAGAAAATAACAACAGTGTGAACATTGTTCTACCAGAGAAAACCTAGAACCATTTTAGGATGCTGTCTCAAATGCCAGCAGAAAGCAGTGTGAAAGGACCAGCTCTGGTCACCTGGTATGACAACATCATGTGACACTTTACAGGCACAATGAAGGCAGTAGGAATAATGCTGTACAGATAGAATGGTGTACCACCAACAGCTCGTACTTGCATTACAGACGTTGAAGTTCTGTAAGGAAGACGTGTTTTAACAGACCCTTGAGAAGAGTCTTTGCCCCAGACTAACCTAACACCTTACCCAATGACACCTTGGATACATTTATTTCTCAGAATTGGTAGCAGTTTGTACGCAGCCCGCAAAACATGTGATTAATGCCAAGAAACAGCATAGGGTAGAAAAAGATCTAGGCATTATTCTCTTAATACTATAAATGAGTATTAATCACAAATATAAAAATGATCTTTTATTTATGGCAGTGAACAAAATGCAGCTTCTACCATAGGAAATCATCAGAAGGGAAAGATTAAGGGAATAAGAAAAAAAGTCTGGAAGAGGCTGACCCAGGTTCAGATTCCCTGCTTTGTTTGGGGTCAGCCTGCTCCAGCACCATCAAACTGATTAGCTCTCTCTTTGACTCATAGCCTCATGATACCCTAACATTACTCCTCATAGTCTGTGCCTATTTATATTACTTCTCATATTTATATTACTTCTCATAGTCTGTGCCTAATTATGTAGAAGCTTTGAGGAACTTCCATGCATTTCTATAACACCTCTCTTCACCTAGCTGGGTCCTGATCCTAACTTAGGCTTCAAGTTGCCAGTGCCATGCAAAAAATTAACGCTTGCAAAGTCTCAGATTTGTTTCCCCCTTTACATCTGTTGCCATTAGTGAGAAACAACTATCAGCACAAACGCTCTACTACGAAGTACTTTCTTCCACACTAAAGGCACTTGTTGTGCAGATGGCACCTTTTTTTTCTTTTTCGTTTTAAACCGTGATTGTTCCAGAAAGCTTTCAAAGAATTTTGCTACTTTTTAATAAGCACTCAGCAAAACATCAGCTGAATTCCCAACAGCACAGAGAAAAAAAAAAAAAAAAAAAAAAAGAGAAATAAAAATCCAAACACTAGGAGTTCTTAGCAAAGGGAAAAAAACAAAAACAAAAACAAAATATCATTATTTAATATTAGAAAAAAAAGAAAAATGAAAATCACACAACCACATAGCCCATGCTTTGGATATTCTCATACTCTGACATTCCAAAAAGAATGTAGAGAGGATGCAAAACAGAAGGTCAACAAGTATAACCACAGGCATGGATTGGTTGCTGCAAAAGGAATGACTGAACACAGCAAAACTTCTCAGCCCAGAAAAGAGAAAGCTGAACACAGGAGATATCGGAGAACCTGAAGAGGCATGTAAAGTCATACTAGCATAATGAAGAAGAGTGGGTAATGACAGATACTTTTAAAACAAAGTGTAAGGAAGCATCGAAAGAAGTCAGCAGGTAAAAGTTTCAGAAACCAAAGCAGGTTGTTCTAATACAGTTGGTTAAATTACAGATGCCAAAGACAGCAAGATGTACCAAATGAATCACTGGTCTGATCACTTTCATATTTCTGGTATCTGACAAATTTTCACGTAACATAATTCACAAATTGCAAATAAAATAAATAAATAAAAAGTAAAAGGATAAAGATGCTTTCTTTTCTTTTTTTAATAGCATAACACAACCTACACAGCCCATTCCTTCCCTTTGCTCTCCTTAGCACAAGGAGTTCTCCTTGACACTGGCCTAGGTCATAACTAAACAGTAAGCTGTAAAGCTGGAGTCTGGACTTGAAAAACACACAGCATAAAGCCTCACATTTTGCATGCAGCCTGCAAAAATGAAGTTCAAAAATGAATTTTGCATCAAGCCTGCAAAAATGAAGCTCAACTTCACCATCAGATGTACGAACTGGTGCATTTATGGCATTCTGAGGACATTTGGCCACTGCACATATAGTACATATGCATATGTAACAATAGTCTTCCATTACCTCTGTGTGACACCCTTTATTTCTATGATCCAGCAGATGAATAACTAGAACCCATAACTCTTTAATGCAGGTACAGGGGTAATGGTGACTAGTAAGAGCTTCAGAAGGTCTCACCTGAAAAAGAATACGCAATCCCATTACTCAGAGAAGTGGTGGCTCTGAAATTGCATTTCATGTACCAACACCTTTTTTTTTTTTCAGTTAAATAATACATCCATAATTACAGACTGGGAAGCACATTATCCTATTAACTTCCAAAATCACATGCACATCTCACATGCAACAAAGGTTTTGTTTCATAATTTTATGTATCTTATAGGCTGTACTATTTCTTAGTTTTTTCCAAGCCGCTTTCAAACATTCAACCAAATGAAAATGGGTTTTTGAGGTCTAAATTAAAAGGAATTGTAATAAATACTGATTCACTGTCTGACAGTGAGAAAAAGAGAAAATGATTGATTAGATTTTCTTGATGCTCCTGGGAAGACATGAAAAGGATTTCAAATGATTTAATAGTTATTATTGTCGTTATTTTTAACTTAATGACTAGGCATAATGCTAGCAGAATATCTTTTTGTTGGCATGAGGACGTTAATGTTCCTACAACATTTCACTAAATTTGCTCTTCAGTAAATTTACTGCAAGGCATTTTTTTAATATGCAGAAAACAACATATTTCAAGTTATGTATGTTATTTGATTACTATTCCATATTTAACAAAATTCACTCTTAGACTCATGAATTTCAAATGCAAAGTAGTCTTTTTGTGATTCATCTTTCAGTTTTACATTCCCTGAATTGTGAAACAAGCAAAACAGAACAACAAGCAGAAATGTAATAAGAGGTAAGAGAAAGCAGGTTATACTAAATTTATCCCACAAACCTTGAGTATTTCTCCCAATTCCAGGAATCTAAATAGTCAGGAGTCCAACTCTGGGTAACCAGCCTAAACTCTTCTAAAGCCGAAAAAGAAAGAGTCACCTACAGCAAGTGATGACTCTTTTTATGGCAGTTAAGAAGAACTGTTGCTATCTTCTTCTGAAAATAAATGGAGCCTAGGGTGACTAGTTTAGATGAACTCAGACACCTAAAGCTGGTGAGATGCATCCTATATTGTTATATCCTCTTGTCCATCCTGATCCATTCACACACAGTTACTATTACAGCACATTGGCACTTGAAATTATTCCTGAATTTGGAAGTGTAATAGCATAAATTAAAAATTCATTCAAAACATGCATCGACAATAACAGCAGCAGTTATGTGAAATAGAACACAGAAGCGGGAGTGGAGGACTAAAAATCACATGCTCACAATTAGAACATGGTGGATCCAGGGCCAAAGAAAAAAAAAAAGATGAAATCAAGACTTAAGTTCTTAAAATAATTCTCTTATTCACATTCCATGCAGGTTATTTAGAGTCATTCACATGCCTATGCTTCTTCATGCTTCCAGGAATCTCAAAAAAAAAAAAAAAAACCTAAAAACCTTATGCAAATATAAATCATTGAATCATAGAATGCTTAAGTTTGGAAGGGACCTCTAGAGATCATCTAGTCCAACCCCCCTGCACACGCAGGGTCACCTAGAGCACGTGGCACAGGACTGCATCCAAGCAGGTTTTGGAAGATCTCCAGAGAAGGAGACTCCACAACCTCTCTGGGCAGCCTGTTCCAGGGCTCTGTCACCCTCATTGTTAAAAAAAAAATTCCTTAAGTTCCTGCGGAACTTTTGGTGTTTCAGTTTGTGGCCATTACTTCTAGTTCTGTCGGTGGCCACCACTGAAAAGAGGCCAGCACCATCCTCCTCACTGCCTCCCTTGAGGTACTTATAGACACTGATTAGATCCCCTCTCAGCCTTCTCTTCTCCAGGCTGAACAGGCCCAGCTCCCTCAGCCTCTCCTCATAGGGCAGATGTTCCAGGCCCCTGATCATCCTTGTAGCCCTGTGCTGGACTCTCTCCAGCAGCTCCACATCCCTCTTGTACTGTGGAGCCCAGAACTGGACACAATACTCTAGATGTGGCCTCACCAGGGCTGAGTAGAGGGGCAGGATCACCTCCCTCGACCTGCTGGAGACACTCTTCTTAATGCACCCCAGGATCCCACTGGCCTTCTTGGCCACAAGGGCACACTGCTGCCTCATGGTCAACTTGTCATCCACTATGACACCCAGGTCTTTCTCTGCAGAGCAGAACAAACCTCAGAATAAAAATGCAGAATAAACCTCAAAAGTGGCTGAGTCTAAAGTCTAATGGAATATCCATTACGTATCTGCTGACTACCCAAAGCTGAAACAGCTTCAAAATTACTGTAACTCAAGGAATCTAACAGATCCCTCAATAAGGAGCAATCTCCTTATTGCAGATGCACTAAAACACCAGAGCATTTCAGGGAAGTATTACATATGCAAACTCTCTTACAGCCAAAGCTGCAGACCTGTTACATGGAACGCCTGCTGTTGCAACATCTAAGTATTTTCATCTACCACTTGCAGAGAATCCAAACCTTCTCCCTCTTATACATGAGGGGCCCAAAATTACTGCTAACACAGGAAAAGGAAAGAGACTGAGAAGCTAGCATCATCTAGCCTGAAATCAATGCTAAGAGAAGCAATGACTTTTATCCCTTCATGCCTCCCTGGCCACAAAAGGATCTTTTCTGTCTGCCAGGAGGGAGAATTTCAGTTTAGCATCCGACAGTGCAGAACCTACCATCGGGTACAGTGGTCAACAGAGAGTAGTTGAATCTTGTTTTAGAAAGGCCACTTGCTTCTATTTGCCTTTTGAGGGGGCAGTAGGTTCCAGTATTCTGTGAAAATTTGCTACATCAAAACCAATTTAAAAAGATAAAGAATTCTCCTTGACAACACTGGTTACGAAAAAAAACACAGAAAAAGCAGAGTTGCTGAATGCCTTCTTTGCTTCGATGTTTACCAAGGGCAGCCCTTCAGAGTCCCAGGCCCTAGGGACAAGAGAAGAAGCCTGGAGAGAGGAAGATTGGGTCAGAGAGCACCTAAGGGAACTCGATACCCACAAATCCATGGGCCCTGATGGGATGCACCCCAGAGTGCTGCGGGAGCTGGCAGATGTCATAGCTAAGCCGCTCTCCATCATCTTTGAAAGATCCTGGGGAACGGGGGAGGTGCTGGAGGACTGGAAGAAGGCCAATGTCACGACAGTCTTCAAAAAAGGCAAGAAGGAGGACCCAGGCAACTACAGGCCAGTGAGTCTCACCTCCGTCCCCGGAAGTGATGGAACGTCTCATACTTGCCGTTGTCTCCAGGCACATGGAGGACAAGAAGGTGCTCAAGAGTAGTCAGCATGGATTCACCAAGGGGAAATCTTGCTTGACTAACCTGATAGCCTTCTATGATGAAATGACCAATGGGATAGATGAGGGGAGAGTGGTGGATGTCGTCTATCTCGACTTCACCAAGGCTTTTGACACCGTCCCTCACAACATCCTCCTG